GTTTTTTGAATAAGTGAATTAACAATATTTAAAACCCTGAGCAGAAGTAAGATTTTATCTAATCTCTCAAATTTCCTCCTCTCTCAAGGCTGTTGTCACAGAATCTTGCATTCCTATTCTGTCCTCCTTCACATTTACTAACTTGCTCACATTCACCAACTCTGAGCCAAGAGATATTACCTGCTTTTTCACTTCAGTCTAGTACTTGTAATTTGCAAAACCCTACTATGATAGACACTGTAGAAAAATAGAGCAGATAGTACTTAAGGTGTCGTTAACAACTAGACACTGCTACACTACCATTGGAGTTGCATCAGCATCAGCAATTGCTTTTGGCAATTAGAGATCTGCATCATTAATGGTTTCCTTCAGTGCATTGGACATTTGCAACGGAACCCAACAGAATTTATTTCCTGTAACAAAGATGAGCCTCAGGTTTTGACTGGCCTTTGTTTTCTTTCATGGGTTTGTAGAGTTATTTTTAATGAAGGGCCCTGAACTGAACTGTCACTTTCCTTTTTGTCTTGGTCACAAGAAGTCTTGGAACTTGGCCCATGTGATAGAAAGGACTTTTGATTTCAGAGCTCAGGATGTTTTTATTTTTGCTCAGTGAGAAATGCAGAGAGACATTCACAACTTCACTCAACATGCTTAGCATTCACCTATAGTTCAGAAAAACCAGTCAGCCAGTGTTCAAAGTGAAGGGCATTTAATAAATTCAGGCAAAGGAGATTGTGTATAGCAGTCATTCTTAGTGAATTTTCACATTCATCTTCTCAAAAGAATGTCTTCTTTGTACTTTTGAATAAAGAATGACTAAGGAGAACATCAAAATTCAGGGGAAATATTCAGATTTTGGAAAACATAAGTTTTACTGGCAAGTGTCCTTCTTTTAAGATAGCTGTATAACCTTTAATTCACATGAACACCCACATATCTTTTAAAACCTGCTTTCTCACTACTCTGACGGTTAGAATTTTATCTCTTCACTGTTAAGATTTCTCTAGAGAGTACAGTACTGCATCATTTTGACAACCCTAAATGCGAAGAGATGAATGCTCCTCATCTCTGAGACACTTCAGGGTAAGTTGCTTTAACCAGTTTCCTGTTTTCAGAGGCTATTTTTCTGTCATCCCTTCAGATCTATCAAAGTTCATTTAATTCTTTTAACAGCCATATTTTATAAAAAGAGGAATTCTCCTCACAGTAGTACTCACAGCTCTGAGATTTGGAGCCAGACTGACTACTATTATTATCTCAAGGGCCATATGCACGGATAGGCAGCAAGAAGATCTATGCGTCACCAAAGGACCCACAACCACCCACGGCTCAGCCTGACAATTGCTGCTCACCCTGCTTTCTTCTTGCTTTCTGGAAATCCCCCTTTCCCAAGGTACACTAATTTCCAGCAGGGCAGGACAGAACGTCTTTATGTGATAGTCAGAATTCAAAATATTTTGCTGAGGGAACATGGATGGATATGGAGAAGAACACAGAATATTAATTGAAAACCAATTATTTCCATCAGCTGAAAGCTTCCTTTGACAGTTTAAGAATAACTTTTTTTTTTTGTGAGGAAGCTCAGCCCTGAGCTAACATCCATTGCCCATCTTTTTCTTTTTGCTGAGGAAGATTAGCCCTGAGCTAACATCTGTGCCCAGCTTCCTCTACTTTGTATATGGGACCCACCACAGCATGGCTTGGTGAGTGGTGCATAGGACTGTACCCGGGATCCGAACCTGTGAACCCCGGGCTGCCGAAGCAGAGCACATGAAATTAACCACTACACCACCAGACCAGCCCCGAGAATAACTTTTTAAATAATACTATACAAAATGTATCATGCAAAAAATGTGATGATCTAAAGTAGAGAAATGGTAAATGAAATACAATATACTTATAGTCTAGATCAGGGGTTGATACACTACAGTTTCTGTGCCAAAGATGGCCCACTGCCTGTTTCTGTGTGGCTTGTGAGCTACAAATGGTTTCTACAATTTTAAATGGTTGAAAAAAATCAAAAGAATAATAATATTACTTGACACATAAAAATTATATGAAATGCAAATTTCAGTGTCTATAATAAAGTTTTATTGAAACACAGTCATGGTCATTTTTTGATATATTATCTTTAACTGCTTTTATGCTACAACAGAGTTGAGCACTTGCTAGTTGAATAGTTGTGACGGAGACCACATGGCCTTCAAAGCCTAAAAGATTTACTATCTGCCCTTAACAAAGACCACTGGGCTGAATTATTGTATCACAAAGTGATACTATTTAAAAATATTTAATTATAAGAGAAATGTTTATGATATAATATTTAGTGAAATAATTATGACAAACTGGATATACAAGATGATCCCAAAAAGTTTATTTATTTATTTATTTTTTGTGTAATTTTTGCCTCTTCTCCCTGGTGGAAATGTAACTTCCATGAAAGCAAAAAAAAGCATGAATTAATTAATTTAGCTTCAGGTCTAAAAACATTCCTTGGCACATGGTAGATGCTCAATAAACAAAGGCCATTTGAAGACTGATGAATTGTGATTGTATAATGCATATATGTAATAATAGTCAGAGAAAAACCTTTGTGGAATATGCATGTATGTCAGGTACCAGATTGAGAACTTTAAGGGCGTGATCCCATTTAATCCTAAGAAAGTCCATTTGGAAGATGCGTTATCATGCCCATTTTACAGAAGACAAAAGCAAGGAGAGGTTGCATAACTCATCTGACATTACAAAGCTAAGAAGTAATGTGACCAGAATTCAAAAGGTCTCTTGGATTCCAGAGTCTGAGCTCTCACCATAAGCTATACTCCTTACATTTCTAGAAACGATTTACATTTTCAGGTGAGAAAGAAAGGGATGGGAAAATACCAGAGGTAAATACACAAATAACAGAACCAATTACTGGGATATGGGATTATGGATGATTTTGTTTTCTTAGCTCTCCATTTTAATGTTTTTCCACATTTCCTAAAATGAGTAGATTTACTTTTAATTACTTTTATAATAAGAAACAAATGTTTCTAAAGGAAAGGAAAAATGGTCCAGAAGGTTGTTAACTGTTGAATTGTTTATGTAGATCATTTCCTTGTTTCTCTGAGGGCCTCGTGTGAATTGCTGAAGAAACTGTACTCGCCTGTCTGTCTCATGTATTGATTTGTGTTGTTGAAGTTCAGTATTAGGTTTCAACTCCCTCTGAATCCTTCCTAGCCCTGAGAATGCAAAGTGCTAGATGTGTATAACTTTGGTCCAAAGAGACTGACGGATAAGCTTCTTAGTGTTTATCTTTAGAATTCTGAAGTACATCTTTGAAAGCTGTGTTGTGTCTTCTACTTGTTATCTGGTTACACTGGTCTGTTATGTCTCCCACTGCATGATGGACTTTTACTTGGAATTTATTATTATTATTTTTTAAATTGGAATAGTGTTTGGAGTACACACATTTAAAATTATATTTATCTTGTATCTAAGAAGGTAATTAGGTCCCAGCAGCCTCAAGTCATTTAGTAAAGTAAAAGGAAATAAAAAGGAGAGAGATAACATTAAAAACAAAATTCTTTAATTATGGTTCATGTTTCTTTCTCTCCTTTTCTCTTAATTGTACATCAATGACTCTGTGGCGTATTTTCTGTAATCTAAAGGACTTTCCACATGCTCTGGCCTAAATTGCAAGGCTAAAAGGAGAAAGATTTTTCTTTTGGACAAAACTGGAATGCAGGTGATTAGAATGATTAAGTGAATACTGCTAAAATTATTGAGGTCACTGTAACCAAATTCAAGACTGGTTAGAGAAGATGACTGTTTCCTATATTAAAGACCAGAGAAAAGAACTCTGCAAGAAGGCAAACAAGCAAGGTAGTAAAATAAAAGTCTTGAACAAAAAGAAATACAGTTATAGATTGAAAACCTCTCAGGTTATTTAAAAGGGTTTTTAAAAATTCCTGTGATGTGTCTAGACATTCCAGTCATAATTTCAGAGGCTTCTATTGTCCAGGCCTGTTAAGAATGAGGTAAGTGGGCTTTTTCAGATCTTTGTGACATAGCTTTTTTTTTTTTCAAGTTTGTCATTCTGATTTTTTGAGTTATAAGCAAAGCTGCTCAACGTCATCTCTCAGTGACTTTATTTGGCAGAAATGGGGGCTTGAGAGTGACATCATTGGTTTTAAGGTTGAAGTGCTATTTAATGCACCACATCGTGGTCTCCCCTGCTTATGATGATTTCACTTGGGCTCATCATTTTTTATACAGCTTAGCAATGAAATTTCTAGACTATCAAGAGTGAAACAAAAGCCATTAGAGTGGCAGATTTTTTCAGAAATCATCTATGCATGTGTAGTTGAAGAAATGACATTTGCTTAAATATACTTTTTGAAGTTATATGTGAATAAATGATCTATTACCAAGAGTGCTGTTGTTTATATCAGAAAAGAAAAAACCTCTTACTTCTTTTGTCTGTTTTTGGAGATTCTAGTGACCGGTGTGAACCATACAATTTCACTTTTAAATTGGCGACTTCTAAAAATTCTTTTTCTTCTTGACATCATAATGTGGCCTCAGAAAATCAGACAGTTGTTATTACAAATAGAGAGCAGCTCCACTCAGACATTGAATAGACAATTATAAATGTCTGGATTCTTTCCTTTTTTGTGGTGGCTGCTTTTAGATGTGGGATAAAACCACATTAACCAGAGGATGTTGTTATTGGTGGTTAGTGGCCTATTCCTGCCACATCTATAAAGTATCTTGTTTAAAACAATTTTTCTTTCATCGTCTAACAATGACTTTCCGTTTTTTAAGACTTCTATCAGGAAGCATCATTTAGGTATAAAACTTCAGGAGACAAAGGGACCATAAAATATCATCTAATCAAACTCTCACATTTGACAGATGAGAGAGCAAAGCTGTGGAAGAGTAAATGACTGATCAAGGGCACACCCTGAATCAATAGCAGGCTTTATAAAAGCGTGTTTGTTTTTTGGATTCCGTAGATGGCCGCCCACGTCCTGTCATTCTCTGGGACTCATCTTTATCTCCAACAAGTAATGAGACCCACTCTTCTGTGAAGCTCACCTGGGGAACTTATCAGCAGTTGCTGAAACAGAAGTGCTGGCAGAATGGCCGAGTACCCAAACCTGAATGGGGTTGTACTGAAGTACATCACCATGAGTGGTCCAAGATGGCATTGTTTGATTTTTTGTTACAGGTAAGTTTATCAAATCAAGTAACTGGCTATCTAAGACTGACAGTGAGTTATATAAGTCTGAAACTAAGGAATTTTCTGCACCTTGAGTTTCTATGAAGCCAGAGTTTAAGTTCTATAATGCTATATTTGGCAAATATGGTACCACATTACAAAACCTTATCTCCCTTTGGGAAATATTCAGAAATGTCCCTTAGCCCTTTTATTAATTTCTGGAGAAATAATTCTTCAGTACTTTAATCCTGCAATAATCATACTCATCATAGATGCAATTGATTGACGTAACCCATCAACAACTCTTTAAGGTGGATAGTCTTGCCTCATTTGGGAGGTGAGTAAACTGAAGTTTAGTGAGGTTAGGGAACTCACCTGAGTTCTTACAACTACTAAAAGCTGGAGCTGGGATTTCCTGGGATCTATTGATGGTAAGAGTTTGTCTTCTTTCCATCATTCCACACTGTGTTTCAATGGTCACTTGGCCACATAGTTTACAGCCACCATTTCCCTTGTTTGCTTTCTAGTAATTTTTTTGCAAATATTTCATTAAGACTAGACATTGGAGAATAATAAATATAGACCATCTATATATTTGAGTGATGACATTTTATAGGTTTCCTATAACTCTTATCTCCTTTTGATAAAGATCTCATGATTCTCTTCACCCCCTCATTCTGATTACTGCCTTTCCTTTCCTCAATTTTAGAAAAACTGGTTTTCTGTTACTATTGTATTGTTAATTTGTATTTTGTGGAAATTTGGGACTGTCTTAGGACATTTGCAAAACATGCTTCTGTTGTTGATTCTTTTTTTTGTCTGTGACATTTCAAGAAGGAACTAGAGAGGAACAAAAATGTAGGAAGAAAACCAGTTTAGTGCATAGTCACAGTCTAGGAATTAGGAACTTTTAAGAAGGAGAGAATGATTTATGATATCAGAGCCACCAGTGAGAACTGAGCTGGAGAACAGGCCATTTGGCTTGGCAAGGAGGCAGTTAAGAGTCGCCAAATACTATTGAAGAGTCCAGCTATGAGGCTCAGGCCGGTTTTAAGCATTGTATATGTATAATCTCATTATTCCATTAATTAACATACTAACTCTGTGAGGTAGATACCCCCTCTCCATTTTACAGGTAGGGAAACTGAGGCATAAAGAGGTTATTATCAAGAACTGTGGGAAGTCTGAGATCTTACTCTTCTTGCAAGGTAACAAGTTAGCCAGCCACATGTTCATAGGTACTCGCAGAGGAAAGATTCCTGGGTCAGAGACAAATGACTTGATTACTCATGGTGCAGCAGGTGGCATGAGCTTCATGTTCTTTTGCCCCTCAGATTCCACTGGGGTGAAACAAAGTGGCCATGGTGAATGCTACATATAATGGATTTGTGCCAGTGCTGAGGAATTCTAAGCTCAGGAAATGCCCAGTCTTATAAGAGGCTGCTAGCAAACCTGCTCAACATTTGCCCCAGTAGGAGACATTATCTTTATTATCTTGGTCAAGAAACAAATCTGTCTTCCACCCCAGAGGGAGACACTCTTTGTATCTTCCAAGGCTGTTTGCTATACTAAGATCCTCAAAGCGATAGTGCAGAACAATATCTGATATAAGATGTGCAGAAATGCCATGGAGAATTGCCTTTCAACAGTTACCTAACTTGTTCAGTGTTATATAGCTGGTAAGTTCCCAAATATAGATTTCAGCAAGTTTGGCTAACTCTAGATTCCATACTTTTAATCATTATTATATAACAAATACCAAGTTATCCTTAGGTTAATGAAAGAAGTTGGCGTGATAAAATGTATTAGAATAAAGTGGAGAATGAATGAAGATTTCTAGTGTTGAGTAGGTAAAGGTACTCACTATGAGGCTAGGTGTTTGGGGAATGGTCAGCATGGATGTTGAAGTTCCTGAGAATGATGACTAGGGGGAGGATGGAGGAAATCCATGAACCTAGTAGTGAAGTCTATGAGAAAGGAATGACCTTGAGATTTGTAGCTGATGAACATAAGCGCGAACCTATAATGAAGAGAGGGCAAACCCTTTCAGAAGTTGTCTCTAGTGATATTTGTTTTAATTCTGGAATCTTCAGCTAAATCTCAACCTACCCTCTGTCTTTATCATTCCTGTTTCTACCGAGGGGAGCTGCAACTATCATTCAACCAATGTAAATGTATTTATGCAACATCTGTGCATTATACTGTAGAAAACAACCACGGGAGTAGCAAAGGATCCCTACTGCTCACCCGAAGTTTGGTGTTTTAAAAATTTAGATAGGAAAATATAGTGTATGAAACAGAAAGATAGATCCATGTAAAAATGGCTGGCTGAAACAATATAAGATGTTATTGTTATGAGGTCAAAAGAGGGAGAGCACTTTGCCATAAAATAGATAGTGCAGGAGGAAGAGTTTGCGTAGAACTGTAGGCTGTAAATGAAAGGATAGGAAAAAAGGTGAGGCAGAACCTGGGATTGTCAATGTTTATATGAAGTTTAGGGCGTCCTAAATATACCATTTGCCTGAAGCAGAGTTATTTAGGGGAGTAGCGATACTCTCTGCCTATAAGAGATACGATAGAACATGGAGGAAGAGAACCGTTTTCACAAGATGTGTGTTCACTTTGTAATACTCTCTGTATGTTACCCTGACTGAGCAAGAACCAATTCTAGCTGAGCCACAGTCTCCTTCTGAGTGCATCGGCAGCTTTTAACATCATTATATCCATGGTCTGTGGTCTTGAGGATGGATCTGGGCACATGAAGTCACTATTATAAATTTTCAACAAAGATAATATTTCAAATCCTTAAGCTAATACTATTAATAATCGAACAATCATACAACACTCGCTACATGCCTGGCACTGTTCCAAGCAATTGATACTATGCACTAAGATAACTTGTTTAATCCTCATATCAGCCCTATGAAGGAGATATTATTATTATTCCTACTTTAGAGATGAGAAAATCAAGGCAAAGAGAAATTAATAACTTGAGCAGGGTCACACAGCTTGAATGCTATAGAATCTGGAGTCAAACTCAAGAATTCTGGCTTAAGAGACTAACTTCGTGCAATGCTTCCTGCTATTCATTTTAAAGAGAATGGCACCATCATCATCTAATTTCTAAGTCAAAAATTTGTGAGTCATCTAGGTGCTTCATGATACTTACCCTCCCATCCACATAGTGACCAAATCCTTGATATCTCCCCAATCCCTCTTCTTTAAGGTATAGCTTGTGCTCCTTAGTTCAGGCTTTGTCATTTATTACCTGGATGACTCCCTCCCATCTACTCAAACTGTATGAGCCAAGATCGCCTTTGAGACAGTGTGCATCAGGCTGCTGCTACCTCTGCAGGAACTGATTCTAATGGTAGGTCAGTTCTATTTGTAGTCTACCCTCTTGCTCTTTCTGCCTGGGGAAGGATGGGGGGGCCTTTCTAGTTCTTGATAATCCTTGAGGATGAGATCTATGCAAGACTTTACTGGAACCTGTCCAAGTTATGACACAGAGATTGGAGTTCCTAATTTGGGGTCTGGCTAAAGTACTGAATCTCAAAGTCAGAAGGTAATCTGATTGCTGAGAGGTAATTTGGTTAGTATTTACAAAAGTATATCAAGTTATACATATGAGGATGGCGTCTTGAGAATGAATGTACATTTTTCATTCATCCAACATTTATTTGCTTCCCACAGTGCAACAGACAAAAGGCTAATTTCCTCTAGATGTTGCAGCATTTTACAATTTCATCAGTAAGGTATGAAAGTGCCTGTTTCCCTCTCTCTTGCCAACTTTGGGAAGTGGAAAACTAATGTTGCTGATTTTATGGAGAGTAATGGGGTCTTGTTTATATTATTAGTTCTTTCATTATGAGTGAGATTAAGGATATCATATTTTCAATGATTGATTATTTTGTTTTCCATGATTTACCTGTTCAAATCATTGTCCTTTTTTTGTTGCATTTTGTATCTTTTTCTTATTGATTCACAAAAAAATATTTTGTATATCATGAAAATTAGCTTTTATCCATCCTATATGCCTCAAATAATTTTTCTTACTTTCTTGTTTTTCTTTTGATTTTGCTCATGGTAGATTTTATTCTAGAGAAATTTTGTTTTTTTTTCTAAGATCGTATCTTAATCGATCTTTTTCCTTTCTATATTTAGCAACATACAATACTTATAGATGTTTATTGAAAATTTTTATTGAACAAATAAATGAATAAATGAACAAACTTAGGCTATTTTTCATGAGTACCATACTAAACAGTTATCTTTTATACAATAATCCTTCTCATCATTTATACTGAAATTTTTATTTTAAAGTTGAATATATGCCTTATTTAAATGGTGTTTGGGAATGTGTTGGAATGTATTAGATGGATTTTGTGAACAATCTTGGGAAAATTATGCCTGAAGCAAACTAAAATCGCTTGCTCTATGATGCTACAGTAAGGGCAAGAGAATACAGAACCCAGTTGTTAATTTTTTGTACACAACATTCTTTTTTGTTCCACCCAGTTAACAAATCTACATTCACAAAGCCTATGCCATTTTACTGGTTATGTAAAATGTGATAGAGGCACAAGTAACCTTTTATTCTTGAAGCGTGGGAGTATGAACCACGTAGACAAAAATTCACCTCCATTTGGATGACAAAGAGTAGTATTCTAGAGAACGTTTGAGTTTCAAAGATTTGGTCAAATTTCTTTCAAAAGATTATATAAAACAACAGGAGAAGATTTAGGATGTAGAAAACTTGCTTGTTGACCTCAGAGGTAGTCTGTATAATGGTTAGGAACTGCGATTCTGGAGCCAACCTGTTAAATTTGAATCCCAACTACCAATACTAATTTTTTAACATTGAGAAGTTGCTTAACCTCCCTCTGCCTCAGTTTCCTCATCTGTAAAATAGGAATAATAATATCGTTTATATAGAAGGCTATTGAGAAGATTCAATACTTTTACACACATAAAGGATTTAGAGTAAAGCCTGGTATATAGTAGGTGCT